AAGACAACGATGTTGATATGAATGAGTGCCAAGACAATAAATGATAGAATTCATAATGAATACGTATAAGTGAACTTATGTGTGGCTTCGAAAAGGCGATAAGATGAGATAAAGTAAACTTAGATGGGCTGGCCATATTGATGTAAAAAAATAATACCATAAAAAATAAAAATAAATAGTTGAGAGAATATACCCTCTCTCAAGGTCTGTAAGGGAATTCACCCCAAAGTTGAGAGAATATACCCTCTCTCAAGGTCTCCAAGGGAATCCACCCAAAAACTTCTTCACGAGACCAAATTTTATTAACTCATCAACTTCCTTTACAATGAAGGGAAACCTTCCTTTAAATAGACTAAAAAATAAGATAAACAGTAACAAGAAAAACTATCTCTACACTTTTCCTATTTTATTTCTTCTTTCCTATTTTCTCTCTCATCCCTTAACTTCACGTAACATCCCTTTTTATCCAAAGGCTGAAAACTACTTCTTATTTAACCTTATCCTTTTACATTCCTAAACTAGCTTCCCTAATCTAACATTATCTATTTATACTCCTAAACTAACCCAATCCAATTGATCAAAATGCACAAGATAAATTCGATAAATTCATGCCCACCTAATTATCCATGCACAACCTATTCCTGAAGAGATAAACAAAAAAATAATTAAAAATTAAAATAACCCTAATATTATTTGCACCATTCTCCTCTGGTTGGGAGAAGCTCGACCTCGAGCTCAAAAGTTAGTGATGAAGTCCCACCATGAGGCTCGATACTTTTTCTTCAAGACTGATGCCTGCAACTATGTTCCAAGAGTAATTGTTGAATACAAGCTTGGGTTGATTATTCCCAACCAGAAATAGGTATAGCCCCAAAAAAACACCAAGTTCAATTGATGAGCACGCTTGACCATGAAATTTTGGGAGACAGATTTTAATGTCAAAATCTCGTGGTCGTTCAATAGGACGTGGTGGATCTGGCTTCTCCATAGAACAAGGCAGATCTAGTTTGTTAATTTCTTCTTCATGAGGAAGATTGTTCTCCAACTGTTGCATTTCTTCTTCACGAGAAATATTGTTCTCCAACAGCTGCATCTCTTGTTTCTTCTCACGTATTTTAGTTCGAACATCCTCTAGGATGTTAGAAAACTTTTCTATAGCTCATTCCCAACGATCCCAAGCTTGTTCCCAACGATCTTTGGTCTCTGTAGATTAACTTATTTGGATCTAACTTGTTCTGTTTTAACTAAAATAAAACCAAAAAAAAATAAAAATAAAAGGTTGAGAGAATATACTCTCTCTCAAGGTCTGCACGGGAATTCACCCCAAGGTTGACAGAATATACCCTCTCTCAATATCTGCAAGGGAATCCACCCAAAAATCTCTTCACGAGACCAAATTTATTAACTTATCAACTTCCTTTATAATGAAGGGAAACCTCCATATGCTAAAAAATAAGATAAACATTATCAAGAAAAACTCTCTCTGCACTTTTTCTATTTTATCTCTTCTTCCCTATTTTCTCTCTCTTCCCTTAACTTCACATACCATCCCCTTTTATCCAAATCCTAAACACTACTTTTTATATAACCTTATCATTTTATATTCCTAAACTAGCTCCCCTAATTTAACATTATCTATTTATACTCCTAAACTAACCCAATCCAATTGATTAATATGGACAAGATAAATTTGATAAATTCATGCCCACTTAATTATCCATGCGCACTCTATTCCTGAAGAGATGAACAAAAAAACAATTAAAAATTAAAATAACCCTAATATTATTTGCACCAGATATGCAGCACAGATCTAATACAAAGGAGTTGTGATTTGATTCGGGTTGAAAGTTCTAAAAAAACAAGATGAAGGCCCCAAAAGGACATATATTGAAGTCATAAGAAAAGATATGGTAACTTATGATCCTTGGTCGAGAAGAATAGAGGAACCTAATTCATGTAACCGACCCCAAACAATTGGAATAAGACATAGATGATGATGATGATGTTTTGATAAAGGAATTCCTCAGTGCTTAAACAGAAACTTTAGGAGTCAATCTTCTACAACACCAACCTTAGTCATCTCAGGCCCCTTCAAGCCTACTGGATTAAAAAAACTATCATGTACACCAATATACCTGCCAGAAACGTTAAAACTAACCCTTTTGAATCCAAACAAAATAATACATATAAAATTAATCCAAACTGGGCCAAATTAAATTATAAGTTGTAGAGGATGTCATAAGTTTCAAATAGTCTAAGAACCATTGAATTTCGATTCCTATAAGTTTGGATGTATTAAAGATCGTATACAATAAGTCTCGTAGTCATCTTTAGCTATTAAATGACAAATTAAACGGCTTGTTAGCTATTAAATGATAAATTAGATGGCTTGAAATCTAATGGCGGGTGATTGTGACCTTGTTGCCAATAATACAGGTATATGATTGTAAAAAAATGGCAAAACAAAAAAAAACTCATACTAAGGGTGGTAATGGACCTGAGACCCAACGGGATAGACCCCGGGACCTGGCGAATATGGGTATGGTCCAATTTTGTGACCTGAAGGGTCGGGTCTGGGTCCAAAAGTTGGACCCGAATACTTTCGGGTCTGGGTCTAGGTCCAGGTCTAACCAGACCCGACCCATTGCCACTCCTACTCATAATTTGACTGAACCCCGACCCTCTTTTTATTTTCATTGATTTTATTTAATGCAGACTAAGGAGGAGGAAGCTTCAATCTTTGTCACCAAAATTTTGCGTGTAAATAAAACGCATACCTTTTTAGATTCCAATAAATTCATTTTAAGGATAATCTTGGTAGTAAGATCATAAAAATGGTACCTTAGTAAAGATAATGTGCATTGACCTATCTATGGTTAATTGCAAAGAAAAAATAAGCCATTGAATAGACTTTTTTTTAGAATAAACTCTCATGCTAAACTTTCTTCTGCAATAGACGTATCTTTTTTTAAACAATAATTTTCATCATTAGTATAAGACTTGATCTAGGTTATTTGTCATTTTCATGGAGAAAGGAAGTTAGGAAGAGAGGGACTATTTAAT